TATATATATATATATATATATATATACAGAGAGAGAGAGAGAGAGAGGGAGTCTAATGCGACGGCTGTTAGCTGGTCGAGATGGAAATCGACGACTTCATCAACGTACTCAAAGCCCAACCCTCATTGATAATCCTGCTCTCATCTCTGGGATTCCTCACCCTCCTTAGGGCCGCCATCGCCCCTCTGAGCTGGGTCTACTCCACCTTCCTTAGGCCTGGCAAGGACCTCAAGTCGTCCTACGGCTCATGGGCCCTCGTCACCGGCGCCACCGACGGCATCGGCAAGGCCATCGCCGTCCAGCTCGCCCTCCGTGGACTCCACCTCGTCCTGGCCGGCCGCAACCCCGCCAAGCTCGAGCAAGTCGCCGACGGCATCAGGGCCGCACACACGGCCACCATGGTGAAGACCGTTATCGTGGACCTCGCCACTGACGCGGCGGATTGGATCGACCGGCTCGAGGCGGAGATCGAGGCGCTGGACGTCGGGGTCCTGGTGAACAGCGCGGGGACGACGTACCCCCACGCCATGTTCTTCCACGAGGTGGAGGAGGAGCTGTGGCGGAGCATCGTGAGGGTCAACGTGGAGGCGACGACTAGGGTCACGCGTGCCGTCCTGCCAGGGATGCTCAGGCGGCGGAAAGGCGCGGTGGTTAATCTCGGATCGGCAGCCTCGGCGGTACTGCCTTCTTTCCCTTTCTCTGCCGTGTACGCTGCTACCAAGGCGTAAGTCTGCTTCCTCCTCCTCCTCCATCATCATCATCATCATCATCATCACCTTGTTCATCGGTAGCAAAACCATGGAATCGCGGATGAACATCAGGGGTGACCTGGCTGATCATGTCTGTAGTCTCATACTTATCCTTGTCATCATCATCATCATCACCTTTTCCCTCTTCCTTCCTATTCTACGTGCTGGTGACATCAGCCCTGAAACTTTTCGGGGGCGGGACAGTCGGGATTCTGATAGCAGGGTCACATGCATAAGAATCATGGCGTACATCATTGGATATATTTACATGTTGAGTATGCATGTTTTAGGTGCATGGTAGGTTGAGCAGGTAAGGCTAAGTTGGCTTTGTTTACCTTCTCATTGAGAGTTCGCACAGCATGCAAAGCACCACTTGCAAGAATTTTCCTCATTAATTTTTGGAGTAAAGACAGGCTGATTCGTAGGTGCCCAAAGTACATCAGATAACTGCTATGCTGATGGGAGTATTTGGAATTTATGATTGCATTTATTGGATGAGAAATGCCTCTGTCTCCCAACTGTCCAATGAATCACACAGTGAAACATAAAGAGATGACGTGCAACTGTTTTTAGTGTTTTCTTCCGGCAAAGACACTTGCACAATTTATCCAAAAAAGAAAAAGTCAACACTAATAAAAGAAGATATTCTTACATTTTCCTACACATCTCTAGTACTTGTAAAACATCATGTACATTAAGAAGTTAGATTACTAGTAACAGCTGGACCTCAATTTTACTCTTAAAAGATGAAATACTATTTGTTGTAATATTTTCTATTTGTCCTCAGTTTAATACACAATTTCTGAAAAACAAAGATTGAAATTGGTTCTTTTCTTTTCTTTTTAATTTATGATTGGTTTAGAATGTTGGGAGTCCATTACACTGCAACTAAGTAGACATTCTTGCATATGTAACTTTCAAACTTTTTTTCACATTACCTTCATACTTGCATAAATTAAAGACAATATTAAAGCCATCTTTTAGATTTGCTCCTTCTGTCACCATATGTGTAAATGCCAATTCTGTGTTTAGATAGGTGCAGTTCTGCTGTGTTTCATGCAGGGAGTAGGGTATACAGTTCAGTGTTTTTTTTTTCTTTTTTTTTTGCTCATTAAATGGACATTGATAGCTGCACAATGATCTTTTGGCTCTTCTGCATAAAGAATTGATTTTGCCTGGCCATTTCTGTAGCTCCATATATATATATATATATATATATATATATATAATATAGAGTTGGAATGAATTTTTGACTTACCTGCAAAAAAAGAAACAAAAATCTTTAGAATTATTGTACATATACCTTTTTTTCCAGTGAGTTAATATGCAAGATATCATCACCTTGAACTCCTACTCTATAGGCAAGTATATTCACATTCATCCATTTTATGGAAATCAATTGTTCTAAAAAGAATAATTGAATACTAAATGTGTTGCCAGATACATTGATCAGTTGTCAAGGAGCTTGTTTGTGGAGTACCAGAGGATGGGCATTGATGTGCAGTGTCAGGTTCACCGAATATTCTCTTCCTATGAAGTTTCTGCATTCAATTTTACTTTATATTTGTAGGAAAGATTTGAATAGCACAGTTCAGTTTGTGTCATTCATTTCTACCAAGTGAGATAATTATCTTTATGCCTTGCTAATGATCTATGAGTAATAAAGTCAATATCTACAACAATGGCCATGCATGACCAATACAAACTTTAAGAAAAAGGAAGCGTGATGAGAACTGGATCAGAGGTAGATGTAGTCCAGTAGAATAAATCAGTAACAACATAGAGTGTAGTAAACTTGTTCAGAGTTGCTGCTACATCACAACTTATGGTTGGCTTCTTATTGCAGATACCTTTCTATGTAGCAACAAAGATGGTGTCCACGAAGCAATCTTCCACATTTGTACCATCTCCAGATGAGTATGCTAAAGCTGCTGTGGATTGGATAGGTTACGGACCACGATGCACTCCCTACTGGTCTCACTCATTGCAGTGGTGCTTCACTTGCTTCATCCCAGATTTTGTTCTTGATCTCTGGCGCTTACATGTTGGGATTACCAACCGAAATCAAGCAGTAAGATCGAAAGAGGAATAAGAACAGAATTTAAAGTTTAGAGTCGGTTTATGATGTTGCCAGTGAAGTACTTTGTGTGGTCTTTGGACAGTGCATCGTACGATCATTACAGTTTGTTTTTATGTGAGAGAGAATGATATTTGATGTGCATGGTAGCTTAAGCTGTTCACCTGCTGAAGAACAGTATAATTCAAGGTATTTGGAGAATGATATTTGAATGCTCTGTCTGCAGAGCATTCATGCCTTCTGCTTCTGGTGGTCTCAAGCCATGTCTTATTTAATCACCTCTGCTCACACCTTTATGAGCATAGTAATGGAGCACACCCACCTCTGATCACCTCCACCTTGATTCCGATGTATCGATGGATTGACCGTACCTAGTAGATGTCCATTGATTCCTGTTGTCCTTGTTCATGCTGCAGTCTCACTAAATTAATTGTTCGAGTGGCTCCTTTCAGGGTTGCAGGCCCGCTGCTTTGGATCATCTTCGATGGCAAAAAGTTGTAATTGCTGTCTTGAAACCATTCTTTGCTCCAATCGTTAGGATCTCAGCAACCAAATTTAGGAGTCCATTTTGATTTTTGATTTCTTTTGGTTGAGGGAATGTTCAGATACATCCATCTGATTAAACCGGCTTTAGATATTATTTATTTGAATTAGAATTAGGACTAAAGATTTAGAAAAAGAGTAAATACCCGAGTTGGATTAGGTATTTGTATTTGGGTTTAAATATGATGAAAATTGATAATACCCAATTGGTGTATTAAACAGCAATTATAGTTATTCATTTTTTTTATATACTCGTATTTAATGAACCAACTTAAAATATGATTTGGATATTCCGAGTAGATTTAAGATTCATTCAAATAGAAAAATAGGTACTCAAAATAGATTTATTCAAATTATACTATAACGAAAAATTATCGGTATCATCCTCATAAGTGTTGTATTTTCTGTATGATACATTTATAATGCAGAAACAATGCTCTCAATAAGAACTCTATCAATGTGTGTATTGTAGGATGATATGTGACTTACTGTAGAAATGCCTCCATCAGTAGTTATAACTTCAGAGTTGCCGATGGATCACAACTAATGGTTGCCTTCTTATTGCAATGAAGCAATCTTCCACATTTATACCATCTCCAGATGATTATGCAAAAGCTGCTGTGGATTGGATAGGCTATGAACCAAAATGCACTCCCTACTGTCCGCAGTCATTGCAGTGGTGCTTCATTTGCTTCATCCCAGATTTTGTTCTTGATCTCTGGCTTTGACATGTTGGGATTACCAACCAAATCAAGCAGTGAGATCAAAATAAGCATGAGAAAAGAACTCAGTGAGCTTAAATGATAAAAACAGACAAGCTTGAGTCAGTATATGATGTTGCCAATGAAGTATTTCTGTAGTCTTTTGACACTGCATCTTACAATTCAATACAGTAAGGCCACTACTCTGTATATATATACTGTCATTCATAGCAGAAAAAGAGAGTGTTCTATAGCATGTAAGATATTTGCCTTTTTGTTTCATCATTTTGCAGACTCTTAAACTCACTGTGGAGTGTAGACTAAGTTTACTCTTTTCATCATTTTCCATGTAGCTAGTGGTTGAATCTGTGAAGGAATATGTACCTTTTTGTGCTGAAATATCTAATGAAGACATAATGCATTCATAAATGATGGGCAAGATCAAGATGAGATGAGTCGGATTCTAGCAGCAGATCACAGTGATACAAAGATTGAAATTGGTCAAAAGTAAAAGACAAGAGAAGCTGAATCTTGGAAGAGATTTTAGTCACCAAACTAAGAACACAGACAAGCTAGGAAAGATGCCTAAACACAGCATTGTCACATGAGCTACAAAAAAGATTACTAGTTGATTCAAGTTTTGGATGAGGACCTCCGCTGAGCATTCATGAAAATTTTACCCAAAAAATAAGCCGATAATAACGAGTTATTATCAAAGAAAATGAAGTTACAGTCTCTAAAGTTACAAACTCCTTAATGCAGGTTATTGGATTCAATAATCCGAGAGGACCAATGCTAATGTGCTGTTGATGACAATTTAATAGCATTCAACAAATAAATTTGAAGTTTATGAAGCAGTGTATTTTCTTCCAAAAATAAAAAATGTAAACAAACTGCTCAAAATGCTTTAGGCAATAGAGACATACCGAAATCTAGTCTCCATAGGGTAGAATTTTCCCTTCCAATAAAGAATCAATCTTATCTATTCCATAACTTCTGATTAATTTTTGAGAACTGAGCAAGTAGACATCTTGAATTGTTGTGTTTTTACAGATTCAACTGCACACAAATTTGCAGTATGAGCTGACAGCTTCAGCCTCTTTGCAACTTTCTAGTGATGACAAAACACTCTGTTTTAGCTGTTCTTATTCGCTGATGGAGTATTACATCAGGGATCTACAACCAATGATGGACTAAAATTGACCTCAATGATGTAAATCTATAAATGATCCTCCTCCTCCTCCTCATCATCATCTTTCCTTCGCACGAACCGGCCCTGCCGCAGTCGAAACAAGAGAAAAATTCCACTCAGAAAAACTTTCAACAAAATAATCAATTGATTTCAACTTGAGTACATCATCAGATCATAAAATGAAGCATGTGAAGAGCAAAAC